AGTCGTTCTCCTGGGAGCAGATCCACACCTTCTAAGCCGTGTCCTGTGAACGCGATTTCCATGATTTCGTCAACAGCGAAGTTGAAGAGGAAAGGTGACAGCGGGCATCCCTGTCTCACGCCGCTGGAGATATTAAAGGGCGACTACAGCTTGCCGTAAGCCCTTACTCTGCCCGAGCTAAGCGCATATAATGCTCGGATAATATTCACATATTTCTCAGGTACACCTTTCCTGAGTAGACAGTCCCAAAGTGCATGTCTATCCACTGAATCGAATGCACCCTTGATATCGAGGAACACAACGGTGGGCCGCCAATATATGTGCCAGTGCTCCAACAACTGACGCAAGATGAAGATGTGGTCAATGCAGCCACGACCTCGAGGAAATCCAGTTTGCTCTTCACGAATCTGGTTTCCACGAGTGCCAGTCAGTCTGTGAAGGATGACAAAGGCAAGCAATTTGGAGGCAATGGAGATCAGACTGATTCCTCTATGGTTGCCGCATTCCGATCGTGAGCCTCTCTTGAAAATTGGGACTATGACGGAGCGGTTCCAATCGGTAGGGACAGTTTCCTGCTCCCACAGTCTCACTAGTAACTCGTGTAAATCATCCACAAAAGTAGGTCCCCAGAATTTGAAGTGGGCTGGAGGAAGGTCATCAGGTCCCGCGGCTTTATTTAACTTCAACAGTTCGATCTCACGTTCGACTTCTGAGCGAGAGGGTGGATCCAAAGGGACAGCCCAGGGAGCGGGGCGATCAGTGGCCGGCGAGAAATTTAACCATTCCGACCGATTAAATTGCCTTTCAAAGTGCTCAGCCCAACGCTCTAAGCGTTTTGATAGATTGTGGATAGGCTTTCACTCTCGTCACGTATAATTTCACTAACACCAGGTCTTCTGCTGCCCGTTTCCCGTATCAGACGGAATAACTCACGATGGTTACCAAGAGCAGCGGCCATTTCCATCTCTGAGGCACGATGAGACCACCAGAATTCGCGGTCTCTCTTCAGGCTAGCACGGAGTTTTGCCCGGAGCTCTTTGCGAGTTTCATTATGTTCACTTCCAGCCGGAATATGTCGGCGAGCATCTATAAGTTCCAGAGACTGTGAAGAGACCCAATGTCTATGGGACGTCAGCGAACATTGTGCCGCCACCTAGTGAACGCACACAGGAGGTGAAAATTGTGAAACGTATTCCGGGAGTTGACCAGCTTTGAAATCTCTAACAGACCATGGTGTTTAGGCTTTGGCATTGAGTCATGTGATTGGGTACGGCGAAATGTGGGCACGGTCAACTCGGGCTTTGAAAACTGGCGTGGGAGAACAGAGGACAGATTCCGGTAGGGCAGTCCACGTTTTGCAAACGCGTATGGAAAAGAAATTCCGACGGCAGTACAAACCACTGTACTGCTCTGCCAGCTTGAGATGGTGGCCTCGCAAATTACCGTTGTGACTGAGCCCTATAAGACGGTGGCACGTGTGGTTGGGATCTCTCAAAATCTGGTAAGTCATAATGAGGTCTCCACGCAATAGCCGATGTTGCTCGCTAAAGACGCCGAGCACTTGAAGCCTTCGTTCATACGGCAACTTATACAGACGCTTGACATTTTTGGTTGCTTGGCGTTGGTTATCTCCAAGGCGGTGAGATCACTCTTCAGCCATGGCTGTCAGACCAGTATGGTGTATTGCACATGTGGACGTATGTATGAGCCAAAAAGCCGTTGAAAAATCGAAGGGTCGAGTAGTCCGAATGTATGCCTCAGGGGGCCCACGTGTTGGATGCTCTTTCTTGACGCCATTTCAGCCTGATTTGGAAATCTAAGGTCGGCTGGGACCAAAACTCCGAGATCCTTTTCATCAGAAAAAATTCAAAGCATCTGGTAGCCGAGTTTGTATGAGCACACTATCTAGTTCCGTAAGTGAAACACTCTACACTTGTTCACATGGAATCGAAGTATATTCTGGACTGACCACGCGTAAATCCTATCCAGATCTGCTTGAAGTGGTGTGATATCCTCTAGTGTATTGGTCGTACTCCAAACCCTGATGTCATCGGCATAAGGCGTGACATTCCTGATATAAATCAAAAATAACCGTGTTCCCAGTACCGAGCAATGTGGTACTCCGCATTCAAGTTGGGTGGATTTAAAAAGAATTCACGCATTCGTATGGCAAAGCGCCGGTGTGGGAGAAAGTTTCTGATCCATCCTAGGTGAGGATCACCAATACAAAGTTTTGAAGTTTGGAGAGCAGAATGTCATATTCTGACCGATCAAAGAACTTCAAAGAGTCGAGAACAACTACATCATCTCCGGTCCAGCTGGATCATGCCAGCAGTATATTTGTCAATCGGCGGCCGAGTGGTCTGCACGCCTGACTTACAAGCATAAGGTCACCGGTTCGAATCTGTGTAGGCGCGCGCGTCCTCGCGGTAATCTCAGCCCACGCGCGACTGATGGTGGTCGCGCGGTAGCAAAGCACGGTTACGGCGTACAGCTGACGAGAAATTTTTAATATTTGTAGTGCACGATCGATTTCGTCGGAAGCCATGCTGTTCCTATGCGAGGTAGTTAAATCCTTCTAAGTAGGCCGTTAGCGCAAGAGAAATAATAGCTTCCATGACTTTGAAAGTATAGGTAGTAAGATTAGGGGACAGTAATTGGTTGGGTCGGAACGACTACCTCCCTTGTGAATAGGAGTAATCATCCCGTATTTCCATATGTCGGGCACGTACATTTCGTTAAAACGGTGTTGGAAGAATCGAGCCAAAGACTCAGCTAAGCTCTCTCCGACCGCCGCTAGTGACTTTGAGTGCATTTTATCAACTTCAGAAGATCTATGCTTACGCATACTCAACAGCATTGCTAATGCAGTTTCTGCCGTGAAGCATATGTGAGTGAATTTTAGGAGTGAGACAAACATTGTCATAGGGTTTGGTGGCCAGTGATTAGACTGAAATGTTGCAGCATATTGCAGGGGCAGGGTATTCACTGCTTCCTTCGGTGTCCGTCCGATGTTTGAGGAGGAGAAGGAGGAATTCCCCGTTTCATCTTGCTTAGGTTGTTAATGTGTTGATACAGAAGCTTGTGGTTTGAGGCCATACGCATTGCCAAATTCTACTGGAATGGAATTCTAACCTCGCGAACAAGCTGAGTACAATGGTTAGGTTGGGTCGTATAAGGCCATTAAGATATTGGTGCTCGGAGAGACTTAAAGATATGCGAGACTGTTTCGAACCGCTATACATTTGCGTGTCCTGCTTCGCAGAAACGAGACCACGTTTCTCGGGTGAGTAGTCTTAGGCGGTGAGTGCCAAACTGGCTGATGAAATGTTCCCATGCGCCGGCCGGTGCCTCGTCTGCCAGAAAGGTTCAGTTAGTTGTCTCACTTAGTCGAGCCAATATGCCGTAGCGTATAAGCGTTCTCGTTGTGTCGGAAATTTCCATGGGATAATCTGCATAACAGATGTATTCGAAGAGTAAGGATACATGATCGCTGCGGCCTAAGGAGATGTCTACGATTACCCTGTCGACTGTCAGTTCTTTGATGAACATCCTGTTTCTGCGAATCAAGTGGGGGTATTGATGTAGCCATACAGTGGGGAAACTGGAGACAACCTATTGTAGATCGGCCTTAAACTGTTCTCCAGAGCGTGAATGTTGAACTCGTCAGTAATAAGAATGTGACGGAAATGTTTGTTTATCCCCCGCCTTAGTTCGGATACCAGAAAGAAGTCCATCTCGGGTGTGGAGGTGGGATGGCGGTAAACGACCGCCAACGAGCAGGAGTCGTTTCCTTTTAAACGCAGACAGCACTAAAATGAATCGTGTACCGTTTTGACTGGATCCTCTATGGGCTCCCATCGGAAGGCATTGCGGGGTAAGTCGTTCCGAACAACGTACATGCTTGGTAGTGCAATCTCGATATCACTTATGTCGGGGTGTAACCATGTACCCGTTATAGCGAGGTCATAGGCCTTTGATCATTGACGAAGTCGCAGTTCGGAAAGCTTGCTGTTTTGATCATTAGTGTACATACATGAAAGTTTGTTGGATATCAAAAGCTCTTGACGCGGAGCATTTGTAGATTTGTGCCGACCAATGAGAGGCCGGCACCTAATCGCTTTCGGATGACTTGTCAAGTCTCGATATGAATACAATCTGTTTTTTGGTCTCACTCGAATCTGTAGTTTGTAATTCATCTTTACTTTTTTCGATAGCTATTGGGCTGTGCTCAGTTTTCTGAATCGCTGTTGTAGTTATAGTGAGTCAGGGGTGGTGTCGTTTCCGCAAGGACAGAGTCGCTGCAGTTCTCTAACTACCGTCTTTAGTCGTAGTTCCGAAGGAAATGTGTTGCGTGGTATCCGCTAGCTGCGGATTAAGTACACCACCAACTGTTGCGACTATACCATTCGTTGCAGTATCTTCGGGCCACCGTCTTGGTAGGGTGGCAATACGGGTAACCGTGTAATTGATTGAAGTGTAACGTCGGCAGCAGAGTTTCACGGATGTGCCGCCATTCTTCTAGATCATTAGCATGGGCCTCTTCGTCGCTAGACGCCAATATCTCAGGCATGCCATGGGCAAAATCAATACTTCCAAAGATCAAATGTGTCAATAGTAAGCCAAAGTCAGTGCTGATATAGCCGATGTGGTTCACAAACAGAAACTCTGCGCGTAAACACGTGTCTGAGAATAGGGAACAATGATGATGGCTGGGTGCCTTTGGGTTGTGCGCAAACAACTGAGATGGTAAATGTGAGCAAGTTGAGCAGACTCTGGAGACCGGGGTCAGAAGCACGGATAAGTAAAAATACTAAATGATCGGACTAACAGCATTAGCGATGCATCTGGTCGATGAGGACTATGGAAGTGTCATCTCCAAAGTTGGAGTGCGTCGTATTCAGTGAGGTCAGCGAAAATGCGGGGGGGGGGAGGGAACGCACAATATCCCAGTAAACAGCAAAACAGAAACAAAGAAGTATGGGGAATGCGTTGCTCACCGTCCATGCGTCATGGTTCAGTCTGATGGGAACTTGCCAACCAACTGTAAAGTAAAAAACACGAGGAACGTGTGAGCGGCCAACGTAGGTACGGAGAAAGCAGAGCACATCGTTGTTGTACTTGTGGGTTCAATGCAAAACAGGAATCACACCAATACAGCGAAAACAGTGAGAGAAGAAAAACCATGCGAATAAAGGTGCATAGGCTGATACAAATGTAGTAAAGCCATCGCAACAGCAACATCGGTGCCAGATCAGTGCGATAAGGTTGAAGACTTTATGTCAATGAGGGTAAGCGCGATCGATATGAGTTGAGTGGATGCAGTTGGACACAGTAGTAGGCAGCAAAGAAATTCGTTATTGTACTCAGAGCAAGTTAAGTGGGAAAAAAATCGCTACGGAGCAGGAGGTGAGAAAAGACGGAGGGGGACATGCAGAGAACACAAGAATCACCACTAACTCATCAGATCTTGCACTCGTGGTGTGCAGCGGTCCAAAGCGGTGGTGACGTCAGATGGCTCAAAGGAGAGATACTTGTGAGATAGATCGAGGGCCAAAGACATCAGATCACCAAAGTAGATATCCTGAAGCCAACGAACGTTGACGCACGGTATGGACCACTGTTGAGCCATTTCATACTTCTTACCCTCAGGGCTGGTACAGAATGTCAGGAAACGGAAGAACGCAGTGAAACGTTGCCTGTGATGTTATGCAAGTTCATGGTCAGAATAACAATGCAGAAGCACCATCGGACTAGCATAGTTCGAAGTACATTGCGATGGCATCCAAGGAAACAGAGACAAGGGAAGAAAATATAAGCTTATTCCCTTAACCGTGGAGGGCAGTAAACTGTCGGCGTTTGGAAAACGAGGCCCACCAGGTGGGAAAATCGAGCAACGTCACTGAATAGCAAGGTAGTGTTGAAAGAGGTCACCAAAGCCGCAGTTTAGCACTGCTACATTAAACGAATACGTACAGTTAAGCAATTGACTTATTAATATAGCTGCATATTAAATACAACCTCCCCCTCCTCCTCATGATCATCAAATGCTGGGAGTTCACAACAATGCATTCTGCAACAGACCTCGTTCCTGTTTGGACTCACGTTATAGAGATAACAGAACTGTAGCTGGAACTAAGAACGCAGAGATCACTGATCGATGTCTTTAATTGTGCAGCAACAATCAACAACAGCAGCGCATCAGCGATCTGAACTGATGCTTCGCTGCCATACAATCATGCTGACCTTGGAATAAAGAATAATAAGAGGGAGAGAGAAGGGCATTACCTGAAAACCTTAATGCCCTAAGCAAACATTCAGGGTCAAGGCGCCTACACCTTGTGTAGACAACATTCCGTCACAAACAGCTGGCTATCGTGCAAACATAAGGCGGCATCGGCGAGACAGCTTCCTTGCGGCTTTCATTGCCACGCGCCATAATCAGCCATTACCCCGCAGATAAATCAGCACCAAACACACCTTAAATAGGCAATCCAATTAGGAGACGGCAGCAGACGCGCCACTGGTGTCGGCTGCGAGCCATGTCCTGTAAAATCTCGAGCCAAGCAAAAGGCGAGTCACGTGGACTCCAGCCCGGAAGGCGAGACGGACCAACGGCACCCAGTCTGGTCGTCAGTGACTTGATTTCGCGCTGCAAACTTAACTTCTGTCCACCTCGAGTCTTGCGCCACCCTACAACTGGATGACTAAACAAGGCCCTCCTAGGTAAGCGGTGACCAGGCATACCTAGCATGTCCCCGAGCCAACGCAACTTATTCAGTGCTAGCTGTTGTTCTAAGAAATTAGCTTAGTTATCACTACCTAGTACTCGCCTACGCACATCATCGTTGTGAACACGCTGGTGCCATCCGACACCAGCAATGCTTCACAGACAACGACGATCAAAGACTTGAAGGCGCCTCAGATATTCAGACCGGAGAGGCCAAGTCTCAGTCCCATAAAGCAGAACGGCCCTCACTGTGGCCTTGTATACCCGGCCTTTCAGACGGAGGAAAACTCCCTTCTGTCGCCAAAGATGCCTCAGGTTCAAGAAGGCAGTTCTAGCCTTTGCAATGCGTGAGCTGACGTCAGTTTCTATGCGCCCATCGTTGCTGATGCAGATGTCAAGATAAGTGAATTGATCAACCACCTCGAGTTCCTCGTTAGCAAGGGACAAGAGGTCGTAAAGTGGTTGGTGATCCTGCAGCAACACTTTGCACTTTGAAGGTGCAAAGCGCATACCAAATAATGGAGCCACTCTAGACAGGCTATTCAGGGTTGATTTAGCCGCTGCAACATCGTCGAAAAGCAAGACGATATCGTCCGCATAATCTAGATCAACTAACCTTTAAGCAGGCAGCACTTCAACGCCTACATCATAAGATTCCGTAAGGGAACACTCCATGATAGAATCCACGACGAAATTGAAAAAATGGGAAAGTCGGACAACCCTGAAGTACACCACTTGTGGTCGGAAAGCTATCCGATAGACCACCGTAGACCCTGACACGGCCTGTAGTGTTCGAGTATAGAGCAAGTAGGATATACACATATTTCGTGGGAACACCTTTTCGTGCAAGTATTTCGAACAGCATGCATCGATCGACTGAATCGAACGCACACTTGAAATCGAGAAACACAGCTATTGTCGGTCTGCGGTATGCGTGGCGCTGCTCTAGCACATGCCGCACAGTGGTCTATACAATGGTCTATACAGCCACGTCCTGGGCGGAAACCGGTCTGCCGTTCCCTAATCCGAGATTCCTGTTCCACAGTGAGGCGACGAACGACAACTGGCGTTAGGCTAATATCCCTGTGGTTAGAACAGTATGTGCGACTGCCCTTCTTGTAAATTGCCACTATAATCGATTCGCTCCAATTAGTCGGGACACCCTCTTCCTTCCAGATACGTTCGATAGGGAAATCAGTGCTTCGCAGAGGACCTCATCTCCATTCTTAAATAGTGCAGGTGGGAGGGAATCCGGACCAGCAGCACGTAAACGATTGAAGACTGTGATCGCATCTCGGACCTTGGCCTCCGACGGAGGCTCTAAACTTACCGTCCATGGCTCTTCCTACATCACCTGAGGGAGCAGGGGGCCAGCCGAACTAATCTTGTGTTCCGCCCAACGAGCCATACGGCGCTTCTTATTGTGTAACAGCGCACCTGCGCTGTCGCTGGTTGCCTCACCGATGCCTGGTTTTCTGGGACCAGTGGTGCGGATAAGCTGGAAGGGCTTGCGGTAATTGACTACTGCTCCTGCCTCCTACATTTCTTGAGCACTGGGCTGCGGGTAACGCCTGTCACAACGGTGAATAACCCAAGAGAGGGTTGCATGTCGAAATAATGGTCGCGTGGATGGATGCCGACATGCAATCTCATTTTGGACAGCTATCTAGCTCGAAATAAACCTTTGTCAGCTCAGTCACACTGGGATCAACTCACAATCCTGCTATCTATGTCAGATCAGTGCGAACCGGTTGTGGAGTAGGGTGCTGCGAGTAAACATCCAAAATGGTTCTGCCTCAGAGATCGGGTTCAAAGTTCTCTACAAAGGGAATCGCTGTCCAGATGGAGATTGCGTACAGCAAACAGTCACATGACGGGTGTTTCGAAGAAATCAATTATGATATGTTACTCGTAGCTTGTGAACTACTAGGATGAAAACCTCAACAAAATTATGATATGACACAATTAAGCAAGTTCGCAACGCAAACTGATCAAGCTGTAGTACAAACAACCGTCTCAGCAAACGGGTGTTCATCTAATGGTTTAATGAGACATATCGAGTGCGCATGCCCCGTAGAGTGCATGAGTAATTGAGGAATGGAATCATTTTGGAACCTTGGTGGAAAACGTGTCCCGCGGGTGCACAGCTGTTGTGCATAAAGGACCTGAGCCTAAACAGCAAGCGACAATTGTCCGATCACGAATTGGTTCATCGAGGTACGTGGGTAGCATTGTTTTTTCCAGAACCAGTGATCGCCTTCAACGATATCAAGCCCAAAAGATCGCTTACTGATCAGTAAATGAACGCAACAGAGTGTCACCTACGGGCGGTTATGGCACATGAATTGCAGTTGACTAACCAAAAGCGAGAGTTATAAAAGGCCACGATCGCATTGGCTGTCCACTGAGAACACGACTGATGGGACCAAATGAGTTATTTGAGCCGATGGATACACGCCGGCTACCTGAGTCCAACAAACCAAACGACTAGCAATGGTAGCACCGGCTATAGTGAGGAGGATGTCAGTTGAATTCACCCACCCTAGCAAGGCACTCGATTGCGATTTTACACGTGCTGTACCATTCGGAGATGCGGCAACGTGCTTGACCAAGAAAGGTGAACTTTCAGTGGTTGTGAAAACAGAATTCAAATGACAGCATGCAAAATGCCAGCCAACACTTAGCCCTACTGCGGAGCGCGTTTGGCCGCTTTGATGCTATTTTCTTTTCGCAAGTGCTCAACGCTTATGTGAGATCACACGTTGTACACACCATTCAGGTGTGGTATCCCAGGCAAAATATGACCTCACTGCTCTTGAGAAGCCACAACGGAGGGCGACAAAAATGTGAAGGGATTGTTCCACCTTCCCAATCAGTTGAGACAAAAGACTCTAGGAGTTTACAGCGAACAATATCGTTTTCTGTGAGGTGATCACATATTTGTGTATCAGATCCTTAAAGATCCCAACTAACCACAACAACCCTTATTGAAACTCAGCCACATCACACTAAGGGGACACCATTTGAAGTTGACGACACAGAGTATGGACTGTTGGAAACGTCGTCTCATTTTGTGTATCCCAGCCGTAGAACCTCTACTTCTACATTTTGTCATCTCCGCTTCTAGGCCATGCAAAATAAAAAAAACGACTTGATGATGCATTACACAACCTAGATTACCTGAGTTAACCCAAGTTACGGAGACACGTGACAAGGTAAGCAAACAAGGTGCACACTCGAAATTTGTGGTAAGTCCAGCGCTACACGTTTTTTATTTGGACATAGCTAATTCTGATCTCACTCTTTAGCTACGGAAAACTGTTAAGCGTTTGCTATTATATCCGTGATAAATCCATTGTTTCGTTATTGCTTCACACCAATCATCGCGATAGTTTTAAGTGGTGGCTAGAGCACGTGGTGGCCACGCTGACTGTCCACTTATCGCAAGGCAATCGCAAAGAACGAAATATCATGGTGCTGGTGTTTAGAATCAAACATCTCTCAACCCGACTGAGTGAAACTAAGACACAGAGCGCACTGTGACGTGTACAAACGAAGTCAGTTCGTCAGTTAAGTGCACGAAATGCACTCATGCACCTGCGACATGATGGATCTAGCCATAGACAGTTACGACCCAAGGTTCTAATGATCCGATCGAATTGTGCTTTGGTCCCCATTTGCACATGGTAATTACACGGGATAGCAAAAGGAGGGAGGAGAATGACTGCCTTCTAGCAAGAATGATGGTGGAAATCAATCATACAACCCAAAAGATTTCGGGCACAGCTGTTTCGAGTTGTAAGATGAACTTGGCGTAGCGCAATGCGGTGCACTCTAGGTTAACGATGCATACAGCGGTGTGTGATAGTAACCGGTCAATTAGGTGAGTTGGACCGTCGCTGAGTGGCAGACACGAGGACATTCAAGCGCCCACCACGCGAGCAGACCAAGATTGCATTGCGGAGATACAATGCAGACTTGGTTCTGCTTAGTGCGAACGAAATGCGGCTTGGTGTCACATGTTCACCAAAGATTAAGCCCTAATCCACTTATTCTGAGGGGCACCACATATACATCCATGCACGCAGGCCCATCACCATCCTCGTGTCTCCAGTGAAAGGCGGTCGAGAATGTCCAGTCAGTTGTTGGTTACACCGTGTCTTCCTACCATGGGGTTTAGGTCCCATAGCGCATACGCTCTCAATCATTTAGTTACCGAGACCAAGAGGTATGACTTGATTACATACAAGGGAGAGAAGACTGGCCCAAATGGCACGTGGGCCACAACGGGCCGAGAGACTGAAGACACAGTGCAATGGCGTCTGGTTAAGTAAGAGGACGGAGGGTAACACGACAAGGTATACTAAAATTCACCAGGTTGCAAAAAATGACATCGTTCCCTCAACTCTACATCTACGATGGAGCTCATAAAGATTCACAAAATGTTAGCGATAAGACCGAGGAAGTAGTTAACAGACGAGTAATTGTAAGACAAAATTGTGAACGCAATGTTTGCCACCGCATAAGGAAAGCTGCGTGTATCTTACATTCCCAAAGTGACAAGATTTTCCAAGTTCCCTCGGATCTCCAAAGTTAGGAACGTGAAGACAGATTGATAAACCAACCACTTGTGTAGACAGGCATATTTAACCATAAGAAGTATGACATATATGGTAGATACATGAACAAAGAAAGTTAACACGATTATAATGAACTTATGGTATTAGTGGCGCAATGGTAGGGTTCGTGTTACACTGAAATGTGGTACCTACTATATAGCAGCCGGAGCTATTCTTTGCTTCAACCAGGAGAAGACTACCTCCTTAAAAATAGCATGGTTGCTAAAAATGTGTGGAATCGACAGGAATATAAGAAAAAATTGAGAAACGGAATTTAAAGTTTGACAGAAACAACATCTAAATATAAGTAAATACCGCGCGTTGGTTAACATACCGTTTGCAAACAAGCAGTGTGTTTAGTGGCTCCAAGTAGTCTGTGTAAGTAGCACCCAGTTGACGGATCAGAAACTCCACCTTCAAGCGATCTTTACCATCGAAACCGGTCAGAGATACAATCTAGAAGGGGGACATATGAGGAAGGGTGAAAAATTGAGCACAGCTGTTAAACGTAGATCAAAATTCCAAGCATAACAAATCTATTCTGATGGTTTGTACAACGCTGGTATCTTTTCCATGTTCATCCTACTTGTGCACCATGTTGTGAACCGAAAATAAACAAAGAAACGTCTCTTGTGACAAGAGCGTAAAATCGGAGCTGGTAGCTCGTCCCATGAGGGACAAAAGCCGACGCAACAGCTTATATTGCGTTGCTCTAGAGCTAGAGTGGACCGGAGTATAGACCCAAGCGACGTCTTCACACAGCTTTCTAATGAGATGGCACCTCTGTGGTGAGGTGGAGCTCCAACAGAACACAGAGACAGTGATCAACTTTAAGTCGAGAAAATTGCTATGGGTGGAATCTTACTGCGGTAATCTGAAAGAGTCGGAAGCTGGGTCGCGGAATCTACTGAGCGAACCGCTGAGACACGGCACGCAAGACCTAGCATGTGGCGGTGCAGAAGGCAAAACGAGAGTGGTTGTTGGATAGAATAGGATAGAAATGTTGAAAATGAGCATACGAAACACAAGTAAATCAGCTAAAACGTCGGAACCAAGTGTACGGTTCGTCCGGTGGCCAAATTAGGCCTCGGTCGATTAGACTAATTTTGTTGACAACCATAACGTTGCACAGGTGGGAGAAGAAATCAAAGGAAACGACCGTCTGTCTGTAATCATATTATTAGTCAAAATAACAGAGATGCTTAGAAAAATCGAAAGAGAAGGTCAAAAAGGACCTCGGCTTAGGATAGTGGCTGTCTAGGACAGCAGACAACAAGTGGCTACACCGGGGTAAGAAGCCAATAGCAGAATGATTTCAGACCTCCACTGACCCGGGTAGAAGCACAGTGTGAAATCTAATTTAGGAGGCAGTAATATAAATGTACTTTCGAACGACAAACAACGACGCTGCGTTTCATTCCGGCACGCAAGTGTCATGAATAGAAACGAACTGGCAGATGGAGCATGAACAGAATAAAAGACCGACAAGTACGTACTTGGGATTTAATGAAAGAGAATGTGATATCTGGTGAGAAAGGCGATGGCAAGTGCTGTATTTCATACGGTGGCAGCATACGTCCCTTGGCGAGCACATCATTCACCCAGAATATGGTGACAATGCGAACGCGGTCACGGAGAGCCTGAGCAAAAAAAACGAGAGAAAATACGGGAAGTGACGTGAGCGATAGATACAAAAGACACTGCGTCCATAGTGCGTTTGGTCCATGCGGGCATCACAAAATAGGAGCCAATTGATTCAAGCCTAGGACACAGTGTAACCTTTGCAAAACGTCACTATGCAAACGCCAAGCAAGCTACTCTTTGACCTAAGGCCGTGTGCGAGTATATGGCGACTATACGCCAGTGATGTGAGGAGAAAGTTCGCGATGGAAGGCTGAGGGCCTACTGGTGACGATTCGCTCCCGTGATCTATGACTCCTAGCAGACTGCCCAGGACATACTGTGCATGCTAGATGTCTGTATCACAGTTCGGAATAACTTTTGTCCCTTTGAAGTGCAAGGTTTCTCTCCAGGACTGACAAGAAGTTACTCCTATGTTGAATATTTTAGGCTCTTTTTTGGAAATGGTAGAAAATAACGTTCACCTTGAAAGTTGCATTAGCATAGGGGGTTCACCAAAAGCAGAGTAGCCTCCGCCAACCTCTGACATCTCTGGTGACAGTGTAAACTCAGCCTTCTACCAAAAGGTCGAGTTTATAAGGCTACGGTACGAGCAGTGCCCTTATTAAACATCAGTTCGTGTGACAGAGTTGCAGACACGGAAGTGATCCGTAACAGTGGCATGTATTCATTGGACTGCGTACTTATGCTGAGGCAAATGAGGTGGCTCGGTATGTCAGAAGTTGCCATACGAACAATTAAGTACAGAGAAGCGGAACGTGGGCAAACAGAAGCAATGCTGCCATGACAGGATTACCGTGAGTTTATCATGAACAAATGTTGATTTCAAGTGTTGGGAAGTGACAGCAGTGGATTGACGCTAATGGCGTGAGCTTATCAAGGGGGTGGTTACCAAGGTATATGAGAAAGCCGCATAACATGCGGAAGAGAAACGCCGGGTGCGGAAGCGACAGGCATCAATGGAGTCTAGGCCATCGACGTCAGGCGCATGGTGCTGTAGCGCGTGCGGTAGCCTGATCCTCAACCAAGTTGGTCTGGCATCCCACCAGAGTGGCCACGAGGGGCCAACATCAAAGAGGCAACGAGATAGCTGAAAACGTAAGCATCATCAGCGGTGCTTGATAGAAATGTTGTTTCTGATTCCATTTACGAAACTAGGCCACTAATGCGATCGGTGTGGCACGTGTGCTAGATCATCGCTGCAGTTGGTCTGTACGAGCGAATACGTGATGATACTTATGCTGGTGCTGGCTGTTGATTGATGTCCCCGGTGTGACCGCGTGATGTGAAGGTTGACGAGGTGCGTACCTGTCTAATATCCTTCATCTCGATTACTGTCTCCAGGAGACTGCTGATCGTTGCTGGATAGGACGGGGTGGATTGTCCTCGTGGCCATACTAGGCTCAGAGTGGTTCCATGCACCCAATGTGGAGCGGGCTACGGTCCAAAAACCGCCTTGTGAAAGTCCGGTACGCATTATTCCCCATTAGACAGACAAAAGTGCTGCTGCTGTGCATTTCGATGGAGCGTGGCTCCCATCCAAATGCCTTCTGATGTTATTCCCTCTGGTTTACACTGGATTTGGGGTGTGTGAATGGAGCTGTGAGTGACGTAGTGCAAACCACTCGTGGTCCATCTGTAGGCACACGTGTCTTGTGACTGTCATATGGAGGCCGTGGTGATAGGCAGATCCGAAATCCCATGCCACTAGTCAATGTCAACAGTAAAAGAATACTGGACAAAAAACATTAAACAGAATAGTCAAGAGCGAGGAAGAATTGAAAAGATAACTTGTATATTCTAGTTTTCAGCGAGGCTCGCCTGTTACGGCTTGTACAAATAATTAAAAGTATTTGCTGGTGAAACGATTATGAATGATCGGAAAAAGTACAACAGTGTTGTAAATCGATTGTCAATTTTCGCAGGGTATAACTGTTGTTAGTTGTAGTGGTGTGGTATCTGATGCTGCGAAGAATTTCTTTATCGGGATTTGTACGTCCATTGAGAATATGAACATTTTAATTGGATGTTCTTGGATAATATCAAAATGGGTTTAGCATAAGTAGTAGTCATAGTACTTATGTGTAAAGTTTTATAATACGCTGTGCCATTTGCTTCGCTCAAGGCTGATCAGGAATATAGGAAATTTCATGCAGGCATTTCCCTTCACGAATTTCAATAAAGCAAGAAGAAACAACATTATAAGAGAATTTACTGAATTCAGTAATTTCGCGTATTCTCCTCAGCTGTTTACATACAATGAGTGGAAAACAGTGCGATGTTAACAGCAAAAATTCAAAGCGGTCGAAGGTCTTTAGGCTCACGTGACCTGTTCCGAGGAAAACGCAATCGCTAGCCTCACCAGGGTAGGGCTAGCGTGGTCACGAAATCCGTTTGCTTGCATAGCTTTGGCTTCAGCCGCCGAATTGCTGCCGCCTCCGCAAACTGTAGTAAACGGGGATTAGCCTGTTTACTAACTACCCTGAAATTGCCACGTGGGTTCTGGCATTTAGGGCAGTCTAGGATGTGGCGGGCAATAGAGCTAGTTGGTAGCTTCGGACCCTTAGCAATCATGTTTCGCGGAACATGCTCTGCAATCCTCGCTGACAGCCTTCTCTCAGTTCGGCCTACGTACTTGCTACCGCAAGTACAATTAAAGAGGTAAATGCAAGAGGCGGTAAGTTGAGAGTCTGGTCTGTCCAGGTTGGATTTACAGAGCAGCCTTCTGACTTGATGCAATACCACTAGCTCAGCCGCATGGTAACACTTCTTAATCGATTGACGGAGGCGATGCCTGCATCTTCGGTCAACTTGATCTCCTTTGAAGGGCAATGTAATGAATACTCTTTTCTTTGGGACATCGGTTGGTGTTTTATCTCCGGATCGTACTTTTGCGTGTCGAGTTATAAATCGCGCTGGATACCCATTCTCTTGTAGCGTCAAGGTGACTCGTTCTAGTTCATGTTCGATTGTGTCTAATGAGCAAATTTGGCGAGCTCTAGCAAAAGTGGTACGTACTAGAGCTCGTTTATAGTTCATTGGGCAAAAGCTATTAAAGTTCAAGTATTGCCCCGTCCATGTTGCTTTTCTGTACACAGATCGAACGAGTGTACCATCTGGCTTTCTCTGTAAATTAACATCTAGGAAGTGGAAAGATCCGTCGGACTCGCTTTCCATTATGAACTTGATGGCTGGATGGCACATATTCATCAGTTTCAGTAAGTGCGCCGCCTGTTCAGGTGTGTCAACGACGATGAATGTGTCGTCTACATACCGGCAATAAAGGTGTACATTTTGTAGGTAAGAAGCTAACACAGTGTTTTCCAAGTTTCCGAGGAAGATATCAGCCAAAACTGGGCCCAGTGGGCTGCCCATGGCCACGCCGTCGATTTGTCGATACAGGGTTCCATTGAACCGGAACTGAATATCTTTTGTGCATAGGCGCAGTAATGATTTTAGCTGGAGCGCTGGGAACCCAACTTTATCAGCGTGTCTGGCTATTATATCTAGTGTTTCTTCCAAAGGTACGTTCGTGAACAATGATGATACATCGAAAGAAACCATGTGTTTTCCCTTTACATTCAAATTACTTATCTTGTTGACAAATTCAAAAGTGTCTCTTAGACTGTAGCTCGTCAGTTCCCTCCGGATGGGCTCAATAAGTTTTGCTAGCCATCGCGCTAATTTTTGGTATGGTGTATCTTCCATTGAGACGATTGGACGTATTGGGACACCCTCCTTATGAGTTTTCGGTAAGCCATACATGTGGGGAAGTCGCGATCCCCGGGGGCGTAACTGAGTCATAGTTTTGGCATCCATCAATCCGGCCTTCACTAACTTCTTCAATTCACGGACTATTAACTTCTCTATCTGCTCAGTTTTGTCTCGGTTTGTTACATCCTGAACAAAACGACTAGAATCCGCAAGGATTGATTGAACTTTCTGAATGTACTGTTGCTTTTCCAAAATCACAACTCCTGATCCCTTGTCTGGTCGCAGTATTACGAGATTTTCATTTCGCCGCAGTTGCTTCAAGGATTCCCAATGATCCTTCGTAAGGATTCTGCACTTTTCAGTTTCACTGACACAGAATTGGTTAGCCAAATCTACCATTTTAGCTCTAAACCAGCCGCTTGCGTCCTCGCTGACCGGTGTTAAACTGGACAGTTGTTCGTACAGATGCTCAAATTGAGCTTCAATCCCTATTCTGTCACATCTGTTTGGTGGAACTGAAAAATTGAAACCAAGGGATAAAGCTTCAAGTTGGTGACGACTCAACGGAGTGGTTGATAGATTTAACACATACTTCTCAGGTTCTAACGGCAACGGATCGTTGAAACATTCCCGTGACATGGAGCTCATTAGATGCTTTCTAGTATTTGAACGCGTTTTTAGCAACAAAGTGCGAGGGAAGTTGAAAAATTTTACACGGCATACAATGTTTAAGCAATTGGGTACTTGGTCCACACATCTCAACCTGGCGTTTAATTCATCAATGCGCTGAGAACTCGCTTCGATGTGGGATTTAGTTATTCTTCGCAAGTTTCGGGCATTGACGGGTAAATTGTCCTTACGCAATGACTTCACAAATTGACGCGGGTAAGTTGACGTTTGCAGGCACTCACGGTAAACAATCGCACGCATTGTCTCACGAGCAATGCAACAGCGTATTTCCACTAATTTGTCCAATGAGCGAAATGTATCAAGCGGGAGGCGTTTCTTTAGAAATTTCATGCAGGCATTTCCCTTCACGAATTTCAATAAAGCAAGAAGAAACAACATTATAACAGAATTTACTGAATTCAGTAATTTCGCGTATTCTCCTCAGCTGTTTACATACAATGAGTGGAAAACAGTGCGATGTTAACAGCAAAAATTCAAAGCGGTCGAAGGTCTTTAGGCTCACGTGACCTGTTCCGAGGAAAACGTGGCAATTTCAGGGTAGTTAGTAAACAGGCTAATCCCCGTTTACTACAGTTTGCGGAGGCGGCAGCAATTC